CATCCCCAGTTCCTGTCCAGCGTGTGGGTTCCAGTGTTCGGTTTCAGAGCAGCGGTTTTCCGGCCTCACCGCCCTCCGCCCCCTCCCCGCCCCCGCTTCTGCAATGAGTCGGTGGGGAGACCAACGCAGCGACCGCCACCCGCGCGCGCGGTGTCCTGTTCAAGGGACTCCGTGTTGCCACCCCAGGCCCCCAGGTGCCTGTTCGGCGTTGGGTTCTGTGCTCCCCATCGACGCCAACTTAACCTCATGCAGAGGCGCCCTTGGACTCCGGCTTTCTGCCCTGTTCCAGCCTGGGAGTCTCCTCTTTGCTCCCGACGCTGGGATGAGCCCCCTGGGGAAGGCGGTGCAGATCCTCTCTCTCCACTGGTTTGCAGCGCAGGTTCTCCCGACATCCCAGCTGTCTCTTGAGATCCCCCATCCCTCACTGGACGGACACGGGAACAAGTGTGTAAAGGGATCCCTCCATAGTCACCTCGGGAAATCTGATCCGCTTCATGAAACAGAGAATGTGTGTTGCTGTTAGGCAGCGATTTGCAGCCTTTTTCATTTCATGGCATACATAGAGAGATTAATAAAATTCTGCAGCACATCAAATATAAATATACAGTTTTGTAATTTGACAGAGGTAGCCATAGTTTTTATTTATATACTATTACCAAAAATAATAATAATACTTACCCACCCTTATTGTTCCAAATGAGTTTTGAAAAACCAGGTAACTAGACCAGTATATAAGGATTTCTGGTACCATGAATGAACGAATGAGATGCCACCTTATTATGGACAAGACCACTAAGATGCAACTCCATAGTGTGTGCTATATGTTCATGTTTCCAGACGGGGCATTCACATCAGGTGGTGATGGTTGTGTTCGCTGTTGTCGTTTTTTTTTTACTTGACAATCTAAGGGAGAAGATATGAATGCCCCTCACTGAATAGTAAGGTGTGGAATGTTTCAAAAATTCTCATGGCACCCAGATGCAAATTGCTGGTATATCGCACCAGTAAAATTAATTCCTAAGAAGAAATGCTGTTGGAATATCACGAATTACAAAAGTGGGGTGCAATTCACGGGCACAGGGTCCCTCTGACATCCCTAGGGAGGGAGGACTCTGAGCAGGAGGGGCCGGATCCTCAGCAGGCCACACTGGGGGAGCAGTCAGGAGCCTGGAGCTCCACTGGCTTCTCTTTAACCTTCCAAAGATCATTCTGAGGAGCTGGTGGAGCTTCTGGGAACCTAGAGGGTGCTGAGGAGAGGTCCCTTGGGTGGAGACTGCAGGTCAACACTTTGTCCCTGGCAGATGTCTTCCTGAAAGCCTGAGGTGCCAGAGTAGGTCTGAGAGCAAAAGCATTTGCAGGAGGAAAGCCTGGCTGGACACATCCCCGGTCTGCCCTCGAGGTACTTTTCTTGGGGAGAAGACACTTAAAGTGGCTTCCTGTCACTGCTCATCCAGCCAATGGACTTAACTCATACATGTTAGAATCTCTTTTGCAATAAAAAAGAGAGGACAGAATTCGTTTCAAAGAATGATGAACCTCTCAGCTGTGAAGTTTTCAGCGTAGTAGAGGACAATATAAACAATTTTCACCAAAAAATGTATGCTGTAGGAGGTATTTTCAGACAGGACCTGGCTAACAGGACATGGAAGGTTGATCCAGAGAATACAGCAGAAAACTGGTTAAGCTGCAGTGTGGCCGGGCGGGCGTTAGGTCTATGGCGAAGACCACCACAGACACCCTGCAGCTCTGGGTGGGGTGGCCAAATCAAGCCCCAGGTAGCTGGGGGAATTCCGGCTGCTTCAGTGGTGCCACAGGGGGATCCCGCAGGCTGGGGCCAGCGTTCTAGGGCTTTGACCAGGGTTACCACAGGGGCAGGTAAATCGATAGAAAAGATAAGGTAAATGAGCAAGGCACCCAGAGGTCAAATAAGTTCAGATGATGAGACCCAGCCACCGCCCTTGCGCCAAAACCATTGAGAAGTGCAGACGCCAACCAGTGTGGGCGCCAGTGGGGGCCGGCGGTGGCCAGTTGCTTTGGAGAACGCGATGGTCAGGTGAATAAAAAAGACAGTGCCTGAAAGAGGGGATTCACGATTCCCTTCCTCAATGTGTCCTAATAGATGAAATACCAGCACTTCGAACTACGTAGGACCAGGGGACCGGTGCAAGAAATGCAGGAAGTATCACTTGCCAGCCTCACTTGCCAACCAATGCGAGGAGCCGCCACGTGAGCAGGTCCAAGCACGTTCCCTTCCATCCATAGGAAGACATCGTGAGAGTCAGGGTCAGGGAGCTCGCAATGTCCACCTGGGGATCATTTACACATGGCCAGGGGCTGGAGTGCAAGCCAAAATGCAAAATTAGCCAGTCCGAAAAAACAAATGGTGGGCTCCTGCGCCATGCCTTTCCCTGCTCAGCCCTTTAGAGAGAGGGCAAGGATGCCAGCAGTGACAGGGGACAGACAGGGTCTGCGGGGAGAGTGGACGTCCTGCTAGTCCTCAGACCTCCAGGGGCTGACGCCACCCAAGGGGGCAGGAGCCGGTGAAGATGATGGGGCCCCGCGGTTATGCCGGTTCCATGACATTGAACTCTGATCTCAGCGGGCCTGTCGATGTCCGATCTCACTCAGCCCACCGAGGTCGATGGTCCATGCAGAAGCAGACAGTCCATAGACCCCGGGGCTCTTTGTATTTCAAGAGGTGCAGCTTCGGAGCAAGAAGAAGGTGCTTCCCAGATGACACAGAGGGTTGCAAAGGGTGGAGGGCCAAGCACCCGGTAATCCTCTGGGACCTGCCTTGCCCCTGGCGTTTATGCTAATGTGATGGGCAGCTCCCTCATTCCTCAAAGGGATTATGCTAATGTGATTGACAGCTATGTGTTCTCGCGAGATCTGCAGCCTGCTTATAAGACCAGGGGTGCTGGAACCTGCCCCAGTATCCTGTCAGCTCGGAGAAGGTGCACCGCGTGCAGTGGAGGTGATCCCGCACTGAGTTCTGAGACTCTAGTGGCAGACAGAGCATGCCTAGCCAACTTGAGGTGAGTTTCATTTCATTATCACCCTTGGACTGTCCCTCTGAGAAACGGGGCACTAGCAACTAAAAATGGTGGGACTTTAGGCAGTGGAATAAGGGTTCTTCATTTGCATGATGAACCTGAGCAGAGAGGACAAAAAGACTCATGTTGTAAATGCTAATGGGGAATCCAGGTGTCCATATGCAAGGTAGTTGGTACAGTACTGTGATCTTTGGCAGTGAGCTGTGATACAGACCGTGTGTCCTGGGCCCTAACTGACACGTAGTTGAAACACATTAGCGCTGGCTGGTGTAGCTCAGTGGATTGAGCATGGGCTGTGAACTAGAGGGTCGTTAGTTTGATTCCAAGTGAGGGCACATGCCTGGGTTGCAGGCCAGGTCCACAATGGGGATGTGTGAGAGGCAACCACACATTGATGGTTCTCTCCCTCTATTTCTTTCTCCCTTTCCCTTTTCTGAAAATAAGTAAAATCCTTAAGAAAACACACATTCATTTCACATTTATTGGGAACTAGTAGACACTAGAAGATGAAGGGCAAATTTATTTATTTAAAAGAACAGTTTAGCCATTCAGAGGTGAAGTTTTCAGATTATCAGAGGAGAAAATATTTTCATCTTGGGCAATTTGCAGTTGAAACTACCTCCTCTTCTGTCAGATGGAAAATTCAAATTTTCCAGAAGACAGAATCTTCACTCTGCTTTCCTGATATCTGAGGTACAGATGCAGGGAAGCACTGATGATGGTGTAAGTGTGGGGATACTGACTCTCTTGTCTTAGTGGGGTGCAGGGGACAGAACTAACCAAAGTCTCTTAAGAGGTCACTCATTGCATTTCAGCAGGCCAGCCTCTGAACAGCCTCTGTTGTCTCACTTAAGAGTCCTGCCCTTGAAATAAGTAGTCTTTTTTGAGGTCAAATCCCAGAGGTAAACAATCAGCTTAGACCTGAGACTTTTGGGAGTGGCATTCAAGTTAATGTCCTTTCCTCAGGGTAGGTAATGGGGTTTGAATCCCTCCATCCAGGCAGTTAGAACATCTGGGATTAATCTCAGGCTACTCTTTGATATCTGATTGAAACTGCTAACTAACATTTTGGTGGGATTGAGCAAATATTTGAGAGAAGATTTGTTCAGAGGAGATTATTATTTCAAGATAAAATTATGAGAGCAATTGACTGTGAATATATCAAGGTGTTTCTGTTAAAAGAGAGTTACTGGACTTTCAGCCGTGGTGGAGGTTTACATAGATACACTTTGCCTCCTCACGCAACTGAAAGAAGAAATAACAAATTAAAAAACAAAAGACAACAGAACTCATAGAAAATAGAACTGTATGTAAGTTCAACAACCAAGGAGTTAAAGAAGAAACACATATATAGATCGGTAGGAAAGTCAGAGGTGGGCAGCTCGGGTGGAAATGATTTGTGGCAATGCATAATCTGGTGGGCCAGGGAGTCCTACATTTTCATGCAAAGAAACCGGGAGGAACAACCGGGGAGCAATACAGACTATGCAAGCCAGGGTGAACTGGAGACCAATTCCCATGGACTACTCAGTTTTGTGGAGGGAAAGGGGCAGTATGGCTTCTCTCTCAAGGGGAGAGAGAAGGTGGAAACTCTAGTTTCCACCTCTGAAGTCCAAGGCCAGCCTCCTGTACCTCTGTGTGTCCAATCTGATAAAAATAACGGTATTTGCATATCAGGTTCTGCCTGAATTCAGCGTAATCTCTTTTGAGACTGTACAGTTGCTGAGATTTAAAAAGCATCCCTTTATCTCCATAGGTCCGAGAAGTGCCCACACCCCCACCTTGAGGGTGGGGGGTGCAGCAGATTAGTCCTCGGATCTTGGGGTTGCCCCTGAAAGACTGAGTGCAGCCCAAGCCCTTCATCCAAAGAACCGCACTGCCAGAGAAGCTTCGCTCGGCAGCAGGAGCTGTCAGGTGGGACGTCTGGTGAAGATTGTCTCGGGAGCCATGGAGGCTGCATCTCTGCACCGGGAAGGAGAGGGACCCTACGGTGTCGGAGCTGGGCTTTGGAACCTAGGGAACACATGCTACGTGAATGCTGCCCTGCAGTGCTTGGCCCACACCCCACCGCTGGCCCACTACCTGCTGTCCCAGCGGCACTCGGACACCTGTCTGAAGCCAACGTCCTGCGTCATGAGTGCCATGCAAGCTCACGTGACTCAGTCCCTCCTGCATCCTGGAGAAGCAATCGAGCCCCCCAAGGAGCTGTTTGCTGGCTTCCATAGGCAGCAGCAGGAAGATGCCCACGAGTATCTCATGTTCACCATGGATGCTATGCAGCAAGCCTGTCTGCATGAACTGGGGCAGCTGGACAGGCCCTCTCCAGACACCACCCTGATTCGTCAGATATTCGGAGGCTACTGGAGATCTCAGATCAAGTGTCTCTGCTGCCACAGCGTGTCTAACACCCTGGACCCGTATCTGGACATTGCCCTGGATATCCAGGGTGCTCAGAGTGTAGTCCAAGCCTTGGAAATGCTGGTGACGCCGGAAATGCTGGATGGTGACAATTGCTATCAGTGTAGCGTTTGCCTGAAGAAGGTCCCTGCCTGCAAGACTTTGACTTTGCATGCGGCCTCCAAGGTTCTTATCCTGTCTTTGAAACGTTTCTCGGCTTTCACAGGCAGCAAAACGGAGAAGGTTGTGCACTATCCTGAGCGCCTGGATGTGCACCAGTACCTGTCTGAGCAGAACACAGGGCCCCTTGTGTATGAGCTCTATGCTGTGCTGGTCCACTCTGGGCGGAATTGTTACAACGGACATTACTTCTGCTACGTCAAAGCTGCAGATGGCCAGTGGTTCAAAATGAATGACGCTAAGGTGACCGCCTGTGCCACTTCTACTGCCCTGGGCCAATGTGCCTATGTCCTCTTTTATGTCCAGGAGAGTGAAATGGAAAGAGTCCGTGGGAGTGTGTCTGTGAGCAGGAAACCAAGGTGCCCTGTGACGGAGCGTAAAGTCCTGGGATCAACCCAGCGTGGCACTGAGAGTCACTCCAGTGTCACAGGTCCTGGGTCCCAGTTACCTGTGCAAGAGACTTCAGTCCAATACAGCATCTTAGAAGATTGGGGACGGCTGCAGGAGCCATCCTCACCCAAAGCCAAGTACAACCTCAAGAAAGCAGAATGTGCCCCGCCAGCTAACTCGGTCATGATTCGCCCGCCCGTATGCTGGGGTATCATGCCCATGCTGCGTCCTCTGGGACAGGAAAACTGCCCGCCATACAGTGCAGCCAGGGGGAAAGCCAGGACTCACAAGAAAAAGAAGAAGGGGGCGCGGTCTCTGCAGGAAATCCAGTGATCACCATGGCCCCACGGGAGCTGGACTAGCCTTTAGGATTCTTTTCATGGTGGGTGAAGAGGCAAGACTTGGACAGGTTTTCAAGTCCTATGGGTCCAGGATTGCTCCCTGGGGTGGACCAAGCCCCTCTGGGATCCTCACCTGGCACCCACAGAAATGGCTGGGATTTCCCCCAGCTGCCTGGGGTTCCTTCTGACCAGCCCGCCCCCAGCAGCTGTCTGTCCATGCTGATCTTACAGAGGAACTTATCTCCTGCCTGGACACCCTGCACCAGAACCACGTGTGATTGTCTACTCTGAGGATCACCCTCTGAGGCCCGGTTAACCTGGTCCCGTCTGAACAATAAGCCCCTTTTACTGTGGGAATTATACAGAGCTGCACACATGGGTGGTCTAATTTACTTATTAACTGTTTGTTTGGAGACTCATTGTTACAGATGTAGTCTGTTGGAATTTGGAATGTCATCAATAACGTTTCTTGTGAGAAATTTTCCTGATCTGAATACGTGTAACTACCATCTTTTTGATGTTGTGTATTTCAATTAGTGTTTGATACATTGCTTCCAAAACACCCTCCAACAGCTTTCCTAATGGGTCATGATGAACTAGTTTATTGTTGCTTGCAAAAGGTGTTGTCAGAAATTGTTTTTCATATTATAGCATATGTTACTTAAGAATATTGGTATACATATTTATACTACTTATATCAGTGTACAATACAGTGATTGGGCATTTTTGAAACTTACCCATTAATTTTAGTGGGTAAGTTTCACTTCCCACCCATACCCCTACTGTGTAAAGTATATTTATTTTTTGAACTCGGGTTATACATGGAGCTTTAGCTGCATGCCCTTCTTCCTCACCCATTTCAGAGGGACACACAGTGCCACTGAGAATTGGATTTTGAGTTTTGTAAATTGTGTAATCTATAATGAATATAATAAAGCAATGGCTTCTTATAGGATGATATTTTCTAAAGGAAGCCATCTTAAAGTAGATCTATTGCCTTTTCATTGAATTGTCATCTGAGATCCTTTTCTGAAGCCCTCAGAGGGCCCTCGGTCTCAGATCAGGGTGGAGGAGAAGGCAGGACTTGGGCAAGTCCTCAAGTCCTACAGGTCCAGGACTGCTGGGGTGGGGGTAGGGACTGAGGGGTCCTGGGAGGGGCAATGAGGCAGCTGGAGGATTACAGAGAAGGACATGTGTGGAGGGAGAGGCACTGAAGTCTGTCTGTGCAACTCGAGGGTATGTTCTTGACTGAGAGGGAGGGAATGTGCAGGGCCCCACAGGTGGGGCCCAAGTTCTGAAGGTAAACTGAGGCAAGGAGTCAGGGTCCTGTGGCTGGATTCTGATGGTTGATGTGGGCAGATGAGCAGAAGAGAGCAGGGAAGGTTTGGGAATGAGAGGGAAGGAAAGGAAGGGGGTTCTGCGCTCACAAGGGGGCCTGGGTATTACCTGAAGGGAGGAATGAGGAGAGGGCAGGGGGCAGGACAAAATCACCTGGGGTTGGTGAGGAGCAGGCACCTGGATAACCACTGAGAAGGTGACCCTTCCTTTCATCCAGGACAAATCGAATATAACCTTGAGCTGTGAGGAGAGCATAGGTCCAATTGGGGGAAAACCAGTGCAGAGAACCAAGGGCATTGGTGTGAAGAGGGTGAGAGAATAGATGGGAAAGGAATTGAGCTAGAGTCCAGAGGACCAACGTGGGACCAAGGCAAAGGAGGGCCCCTGGCAGCAGGGTTCTCTTTTCAAGCTGGTTAGCAGTCTCAGAGGCAGCAGGGAGCCACCTGTGTGTGTGTCTGCCTGTGCAGGAAACTTCTTTCTCTCTCGGGAACATAGAAACCCTTCTCCCAGAAAAGGTCTACTTAGTGTTTAGTAGTCAAGACCACTGAAGTCCTTCCTAAGCAAAGTTACCATGAAGCGTGAAAGAGACCCAAAGTAATGGCCATGATCAAAGAGGTATATAGTTTTATGACTGATGTTAATAATAAAGTAGATGGAAATTAGACTATAACCCCCCCCCCCAAGTGAATGACATGGCCCAGTAAAGGGTCTCCTGAAGTCCCTGGACTCAGTGACCCTGGCATGCACCAGGCCATGTGTTCTCTGTTGACAACGGGATGCAGCAGTACAGCATCACAGTTCCTGATTGAATCCCTCCGGCACAGTGCTAGTGGGCAGAGCTGTCAGCACACATCCTCACCTACCTCCCAGGACACTCAACAGCTCTTAGTGAGTCTGTTAATGTCTGATGGAGTGGGCTCCCTACAGGGCAGGCAGCTCTCCCAAGGTATATCCAACTCTCCCTGACTCTGAACTTCAGGTGCTTTGCACATTATGTTTCTAGCAGGACATCATCCTTAACTGTCCTAGGGCTCTGCCCTCCAGTCTTCCTGGGAGCCTCCCTGGTCTTCTCAGTTCCCAATGTCAGCCCATTTCTCTGGACAGTGGCTTCCTCTGAGATCTGGGCCCAGCAGGAGTGCACTGAGCGAGCACCCACACATCTGGGCCCCTGTGGAGGAGCTAGACATGTCTGCTTTCAGGGGCATGGGTGTCCCCTCTGAGCTTTCCTGCTGAGGGTGTGACCTCTCCTTGGACTTATGAGGCAACCTAGGACATCCAGAGGCATAGTCCCATGATTGCCTTTAGGCCCACTATTCATCAGAAACAGCTGCCCCCTGTTCACTTAAGACGACCTGGTCCTGGGTTCCATTGGAAACTAAAAAGGAAAATCACACGGGTTGCTCAGTCTCTCGGGAGATCAGACTTGCAGCTGACTTCAACCTGGGGTTTGGGGGACAGAAACCTGTACTGTCCTGAGCAGATGAAAAAATTCCTTTCTCATCATCCTCACAAATGGCTTCCTATTTCCCCTCCCTGCCACTACAGTGGAGTCCCTTTGGAAGATTTTCTCTGGGGAATCAGAGTCTCTGTTACTACCTTCATTTGGGGACTGGTCTAGTGGTCAGAGAATAGGTGAGCCAAGGGCATCCTGGGAGCACTTCCCCTGGGTGTTGAGGTTCAGTGTTGGCATTTGTTGAGGTTCAATGTTGGCATTTGTTGAAGCACCACATTCCCAGCCCTGGGGACAGAGAGGTAAAATCTCCTTTATGAGAAGCCTGATTTTGCTCTTGGAAAGCACATTGTGTTAATTATTTACAAATAAATAATCAGCTTGTGTGGTGGCTGATAGTATTTGGGATTCATCTTATTGCAGCATTATTCTCTGGGATGCTGAGGGTGGAGAAGAATGTCTTTGGTCTAATTGGGATGATTGGGGGTGAGTACATCAGCAATTTTCTAAGATATAGAGTGTTGTTGTGGAGTTCACTGAATTTCCAGATAGCTCAGTTGAGAGGTTTTGGAATAAAATTGGAGAAACTTTTCGTGGGCCACGTGGGCAGGTCTGTCTGTCTCCTGTCCCCGTGTTGCTTCTAGACTCAGACACATATGTTGAGGGTCCACCAAGGTTTTCGGGCAAGAGATCTGTGATACTGCCCCCCTGACGTTCCCTGTGCAGGGACCTGGCACCCTGAGATGCCATGCCTGTGGGGTTGAAGCTGGGAGTCATGCCACTGCCACCTGAAGGGAGAGGGATGCTGTTGGAGGGCAGGTGGAATGGGGTACCCGAGGTCTGCAGGGAGACGTGTTAAAGAAAGGGGGGGTGTGGGCCTCAGCCCAGATCCCTATCCAGGTGCACAGGGGTGCAGGCCTGAGGGTGTTTGCTCAGAACCAGGTAAGGAAAGACAACACCAACAGTGACCTTCCATAGCCGCTGATTTTATTGTTTCACTCTGCAAGCATGGCTATATTTAAAAGATTTAATTTTGCACAAAATTCTGAATTTCATATTTTCTTATCACTTCATTCTCCTACATTTTATGCCACAGTTTTATAAGCAGGTATTTTCTGAAAGTCTCAGCTATTACCTGAGTTGGGTGTTACGGGATTCTTTCTCACACACAGGCATGTACACATACACAAACCTGCTGTTATTTTCTGCAATGAAATTTAAAGGAACATTTCTCTACTCTGATTTGAGAATGCCTCTCCTTGGTGTGGGAATCTCTAGGTGTCTGCAACCTCAGTGACCATGGAAGGGCTTGCCTTCCTGGTGCAGAGAGCATTTTGTGCACTGTGCACTTCATGAGGCCTCAGTGTCTAAGGAAATGATAACAATATTGACCAATGTTAAATGAAGATCAGTTTGAGAAAGGGATGACTTGCAATCAAGGCAAATAGCTTTTGAAGTGCCTTTCAGTAATCCAAATGGAGAAGATCAGTAGCCTAATAAAGTTCAGCAAGAGGTGGGAGTTAGAAATCAGTGTGGAATTTCCATCAGACCAGCTGGCTCCAGGTGCCCAGAAATGTCACTGGGAATTGAGAACACAGGGGAATTGGTTACACTGTACTGGAAGGCTGAAAAGGCACAGGATTGAATGACCACAGCACATAGTCATCTGCTCTGGGCTTGGAGAAGGGGGAGGAGAAGGCCATGATGGGGGCGCTAGTGCTCTAATCAGTGCAGTTAGTGGCCTGCAGCTCGGGGCGCACCTGTGAGTTTGGAGCTCATATCTCTGAGTCAGGTGCACCCCAGGAAGGTTGCTTAAGATTCTAGGGAAGGTGCCCTCTGTGCCGGTTGATTAGACACGTGAAAGTGGAACCTGCAGCTAGAGCTCAGACTTTGGAGAAGGAAACGTGGACCTGGAGGGGCGTGGGAAGCCAGGTTGCCCATCAAAGCAGGTCAGAGCTTGGCTAGTCCTCCTACTACAAAGAGGATAGAGCAGGGCTGGTGCCAGTTCCTCTGAGCATGCTCGGGAATCCACTGTGAACACAGAGGAGGCTGGAGCTTGGAGCCAACCCCTGCTGTCATTGGAGTGGAGCACAGCCCGCTGGGACGGGAAGTGGAAACAGCTGCCCATCCGTGTTGTCTTCCTTTCCACCCTACTCCTCCTTCCAGGCATTCAAGGTACCCAGAGGAAGCTAACTTACCAGAAGCTCTTGCAACAGCAGTTTGCAGGTCTCCGTGCAAGGTTGCAGAGTGGAGTACAGAAGGGGGCTTGGAACCAGAAAGGTCAGAAATTTGGTAGTCGTGCCCCTGGGGGGAGGGGGTTGAAACCACAGGAGTGGGAAGAGGGAATGGTGGAATCTGAGAGTGAGGAAAGAGGAAGAAAGGTGTCTGGGAGACTTAGGTCCTAGAGTGCAAAAGAGGGAGAAAATGAAGGACATGGATCACCCTGCCACTCTTCAGAAAGAGCCAAGAGGGTTGAGACTCCCCCTCAGGTCACTGGGGTAGGTCCCGGAATGGTCATGAGGAGACCAGTGAGAAAGGCATACCTAAGAGGTGCCTGGTCTCTTTACTGAGACCGATTCCAGGAGCGTGATGGAGGCAGAAGAGATTTCTGCAGGCTGTGAAGCGAATATGGTACAGAAACAGTGGGGACAGAAAATGCGTGCAACCTTCCAAGTCTTTTGGCAATGAAAGTCAGAGGAAGGAAGAAAAAGGAAAGGGAAAAAGCTTAAACACATTTAGATTCTCAAAGGCAGTTTCTTTTACCCAAGTCCATTGATAAGGAATTTCTAGCAAATGCACAGAACCTGGGCTAGTTCTCCAACTGCAGCAGATACTTCACCTACTCGTTTTCCGTTGTGTAACTTTCAAAAAAGAAGTATCCAGCAGCATGAAGACAGATAGCAATATCAGAACACTTTCACAAACATTTTCATTTATATTAAAGCCTTTTACAAATTGCCTTAATCAGGAAATTGTGTTTTTGTTCTGTGTTTCTTATTTGCATCTTTATGGACAGCAAGCCTAATTGACTAGTTAAAAAAATGCTCTAGAGCAGAGCTGAGGGGTATTTCTTTTCAGTTCAGGAGGGTGATTATAGACCTTGTGTAATGCATGTGGCCTGTGAAAGATATTTTTCCCTGCCTCAATGCTGGATTCCAAATCAATGCAAATCAGGGCAAAGGGAAGCATCAGTTTGCTGTTTCCATTGAGCAAAATGTCACAGGATCACAGGAGGGCTTTGCGGAGGTGGCCAGGATCTTATTTTGTTGTGAATTGGCCTTTATTCTCTGTCCATGCCTACCACACTCTTTCATGGACATGCTAAGTACACAGACCAGAAAGCACACAGATGCAAGTGAGCCAGTGACTGTAGGGTCTCCCTGGGCCTTTAGTCTCCTCATCTGTTAATGAGGGTATGAAGCACAGTGATCTCTAGGGGTCGCTGATAGGTCTGATCTGACAATTGTCACTGAAGGAATATACTACTCCATCCACGGCCAGCTTGAGTTTTAACATGGCCCATTTTTTGTGGAACTCGAAATTTCAGATCAGACAGGGAATATGTGATGTTCTAAATAATTCCTGTTGATGAAGGACAAGAGGAGGAGTATGTGACAGTGGTGATGCTGAGGTGGCCACACTGTGTTTCCAGCAGATGGATGGTTCATTTTCTGTGCAGTTCAGTCTCCCCAGATTACCTGGACCAGACTCTTAGAAGAGAAGGCCCAAACTCACACATGTGTTTGAAGCCAGGACTATAATTTTACAACTCATTTCAAGTGGGTCAGTCTTCCCTTTTCTACCTATGTTACTTATCAATTCACTATCTCACTTTCTCAATAGGCCCCATCCCAGGCACTGTTGGGTACCCAGGTGACAAGATAAGGTGCCATCCCTCAAAAAGCTCACAGCCTGGTGATGGCATTTCCCAGTAGCCTCAAGGACTGAACTGACAGCTTTGGAGAATCCAGAGCATGGAGGTCAAAGAGCAGAGATACAGAGAGGCCCAGTTCACTGAGGTCACAGCCGCCACAGTCTCCCCACCTTTTCCATTTTTGTGGCTGCAGTTTGTAGTGCCTAATTTTTTGTCCTCTTTTTGCAGCAAAATGGTGTCAGGTCAGCTCTGCAGCCCCCAATCTTGACTTCAAAGGAAAGGCATTCAACCTCACAGCGGCCGTCCATCTTCTCACAAAGTGTTTGCCTTTGAATTCCTCCCCTGGCTGAGTGGAGAAAGCAATTAGTCTTCAGTCATTCAGGAATTAATTACTGAAAGACCAAGTCATATCACTCAGGCCACGTGCATAATCCCCCATTACAAATCTCCTGGTGACAGAGTATAAATCTCAAATAAGCAGATATCACCTGAGCAGCTGTGCCCTTGACTTGACATTGACTCAGGAGAAACAAACAACAACAATAACAAGAGCAGTTCCCTATCTCATAATCATTTCTAAGATACAAGAAATAGACTGTTTCTTCCTGGGAGAGATACAATATACTTTCTGATTCTATTAAAGCATTCCTTTTAATAAATGATTTTTTTTACATCTCCAAATTCATAGCCCCTGATATGCAGCAAAAGGGATGCCTGTGCTGTTCACACTGTAGGCCACTCAGTGAAGATCAGTGTGGGCTGCCATGTGGTTTCGGAGTTTCATAGTTTGGGGTCCAGACATACAAGGGATGTGGTACTGAGGGTACCCTCACAAGGAGTAATGTTTGCCCTTGGGAAGAGAAACCTGGGGAGTGGAAGGTGCAAATGATCTGTTGTATACTTGGGGTATTACTGTGCTGAAGGGATATTAAGGTCATTCATGTCCAAGTGAAAACCCAGGTCAAAGGGAAAGAAATCATGGAGAATTAGATTTCTACTCAAGGTAAGGAGAAAATATTTAAATAGGCCAAAGTTGAACCTAGGCTATTGTGAGTTTAAAGCAGCCAAATGTATCAGGCATCTGAACAGTCACCTGATGTGAGACAGGTGAGAGGTGTTTACATATTTAATTGAGGCCAATGATAAGGATAATCACGGCACCAGGAAAACGAGACACTGATAACAGTTAATTCCATCAGAGCCCAAAGGACATTCCTGGCCCTGGTTTTGCAGTTCACATAAACAGAAAGGTTGTGAGACTGTCCCCAAACAGTTAGACTTAGACTATGGCCCTTTAGACTTATAGTAATAGGTCCTCCGGGCTTGGCTGGGTTCATGGATTCTTAGCTAAAGAAGTCACTGCCTGTGTCTCCATTTTGGTATAGACCAAGGATATGGAAGTGAAAAGATGCAAGCAGCTTGTATGTAGTCTTTTTCATCGTGTTCTTTGCTTACCTTTTAGCTTTTTCTGTAGAACATCTTTAAAAGCAGACAAAACAGTCACACATTTAGGGTGGCAAAGTTGGCCTTCTTCCCCAGTGCCAACTTGCCTTGAAGGACACACCTTCGTCAGCTTGCCACTTTTGGACTTTGACATGACAGGGAAATAAACTCATTTTTCAGCTACTTTATCTTATTAAAACAAGTTGGCCTTTAATTAATATAACAAGTGTTTTAACCTTACAAATAGCCCTATCATCTTTACCATTTACAGAAGGGAGTTCTTACAGCATATGAGGACTGGAAGTGAGATCTACCTCAAATATATCGACACAATAGTTTTTTTCATTACCTTATATGTTGTTTATTAAACACATTCTCTCCCTCCAAATCTCTGGTCTCTATGGTGGTGTGGTACCTGGGTCCTCCTCTGTGCCCACACTGTCCTTATTGTGGGATTTCACATGTCTCTGAGCTGAGTGAAGGGTAGGCCTCTCTTAAGGCCTTGTGTCCTGATGAGAAGAGATGGAGAGGACAGTGTTTCCTCTCCCTGTACCTGGTCTGTGACATCCAAGGAAAGACACTGGGGCAGAAGCTAAGTAACCTGATTCTACAAGTGAGACTTTAAAATACATGGGCATCCCTCTGGACTTCAGACTTCCTTCTCTCCTGGCTGCTTTCAAAAGTACAACGCCAATACGACCACATAGTGAGTCCTTCCCAAGTCCCCACTGAGAACCCAGCTTCCATATCAGAGCTTCTCTCTGAACCTGGCATTGTATACGGCACTTAAGAGAACCATTTGGTGTTACAGTACTTTATGCTTCTTCCTGTCTTGTACATGCAGTTTCCACATTTGAATGTATCCATTGCCTATTTACAGTTACAGGCAACCCATATTTGAATAACATAGAAGGAATAGACCAATAAAAATCAAGGAAATTAAGGGGGAAATCTATGCTCTTCTTAAATTTTTACTTCCATTTTACTTGTCTTGATTATGGTTCCCAGAACAATTCCTCATAAGTGGTGGGAACACATTCAGTATCTATTGGTTTGTTAGGTCTTCTGATGCCCAAATGTGTAATCAAAAGTGTAGAAATCTGAGAACCATGGAAAATCCTGTTGGGAGAGGCTTGTATCAGGAATGAAAGACAGTTGATCAGGGAAAGACAGAAAATGTTTTCAGAGATCAATTCCAGGCTGAATGGAGCAAATAGGGACCATTGCAAAGGTCTCTAGAACTTATAAGTAAACTGATTAAAATGTTAGTTCTTTGAATGATGTAATTTTCCATAGGTGATTGGAAGCTAGTAAGATACCCCAAAATAATATGATGAGGAGATTCAGACAAATTAATGAGACACACAAAAAAGAGCCTGTTAAGAACCTAGTACCACGAATCCCTTGAGGCTACAAAGGCTGTACCTTCTTTGATTAACAACTGTGTTTGTTAATGGAATTGGCCTCTGAGAGTTTCTCTGTTTGCAGCAATCACTTTGCACATACTGAAGCTGGATGGAAGACTGCAGAGGAGGAAAGGGCTCTGAACAGAAAGGAGTCTGAACCCTTTGCAGAGCTTTCATGGCAATTAACTGGATTTTTTCTGCTTAGAGATGGCTGGGGCCCATGTAGTATCATTGTCCTGTGTCTGATCTCAAGAAAGGATTTCCAGTAACTGGTCCATTGTAGGTACTTTTAAAAATATGAGGTGAGTCGAGCACTTTTCTTAAAGGTGAGATTTTTTTCTAAAGAGATAGATCCTGAAAAGTCTGTCACTCTTACATCTATAAGGATTTCTTTCTTACCTGAGAAAATCTGAGCAAGAAGAACAAGGCCAGCGACGGTTAAGAGAAAGATCCTCATGGCACCTGGTGTCAGTGGAGAGAGGAAGAGGGAGGTGCTGGGGCTGCAAGGCAGATCTCTGAACACAAAAGTTGATTGAGACAACTACCACAGCTCTAGTGGGGCAAGAAATAACTTGGACTTGTAGTGTTCATTAACAATCCACTGTTCTTCATGGCCCATTGAATAATACGTGGGCAGATTGACCTTCTAGCAATTCTGGGAGAGAAAGACAGAGAACACTGTCTTCCTGCCTGGAATACTCTAGTCTGTGTCCCTGGCTGGGCATCCCCATATTTTTTCTTCAAGCCCCATCTTAACTACCACTACCTGCATGAGATCTATAACCACGGCTCCTTTTCTTCTTACCTAGGATTTTACATGCAACTTACCCTCTGATAAAATTCACCGAGCAGTTAATAATCAGTGCTGGGAGTAATCACTGCTTAAAAACTAGCCAATATAGGGCAGTTTTCTTACAGGCACCCTACTCATGCTGCAGGGGAAGGAACACTGTCCCCTCCTGGCAGAGGACAGATATGACAGTGGGTTTGGCCAGGTGCCATATAAGACACACATACTCAAGAAAAGGCAAATGGGCATTCTGCAGTCCTGAAAGAATAAAAGATATTTCCATGCAAGCTGATATTCCTGGGAGAAGCTGTATGGGCTATTACCTCTCAGTAAGGAAGTGTCCCAAGCCCCAAACTAATTCTTAACTAGCTAAGTCCAGGTCAAAGGGCAGCACCCAAGAGAAAGCTCTTCCCAACTAAAGTGATGCAAAGAAACATTACTGACACCTCTCTCCCTAAACAGTCAAAAACCTACCCCAAAATGGGCAAGTTCTTTCAAATCTTCAATTTACTAAACTTCACACATGTATTAGCAGAGAATCTGAATATCTCTTTATCTTTTTAAGAAATGGAATTTTTTATGAAACAAAGGATGGCTTCTGCTTAGGATGTACAAGGATGAAAAGAACACATTTCCACATTAGCCAAACACACCAAAATGGAGGTGGGCTGCAAATATTCAGTGTTTCTAGAACTCACCAGAAAGCAGAGACACTGGTGGCTCACTGTCCCCACATGTAAGATAAAAGTGTAATCTGCAAGAAAAAGAAGACATGGGCACTCACTTGCCTGAGGTAAATTCCACCAGACACTGGGGTGAAACGATTCAGGGAGGTCTGTGAGGACCTTCTATGAGCAAGTGTAAACTAGAAAGAGAACAGGGAACAGCTTTGGCATCCAAGTTCTTTCTCATGGACCTCACCAGGCGCTCACACAAAGATAACAAAAGTCAGAAGATGGTCTGAAAGAACACCCCCATCCACATAGGCTGGGGTGAGGGGGATAGTAAGTAGCCATGGGGAGAAAGGCACAAAATTCTGTCAGAATCCTTCCCCATATTGGAAGAAAAAGTCTTACACTTTTGTGAGAAGTGCAAAAAACATTCCCCTAGTGGTTTAAGGGCAAACATATAGCCCCAGTTAAAAAACATTCAGGCTGCACAAAGGAGATTTAAAACCACTGCCACCACCAAACCTCCGTCATTGGCCAAAGGAAAGGCTCACAAGGGGGCCCGTGACCACAGGACATAAGGGGGATCACTGGGAAGAAGTGAAGCAAACTTCTCATCCAAAAAATATGCAAGCCAGAAGAAAATGGAGTAGCATCTTTAAAATTTTTTAGAGAAGCCGCCTGACCCTCGCTTTTATGCTGTAAGACGAATTCTCTTACACTAGTTCGTTCTCTTTACTTGTTAGAGGTTTATTCAGATTTTTTGCTTATGTTCACTCAGTGTTGGTATTTATGTTGAAGGGACTAGCATGTTGCCATCTCAGAGTTGCTTTTTTAGAATATTGGTTTTAAGCTGTTTATGACAAAACAGACTGAGAAAGAACTTTAGACATCACCCCCTTTTCCTGCCCAAGAGATTCAGACAGGAAAACCTGATTCAGGAAGAAAATCTTAAGACATCTTAACTAAGTTGAAATAAGTGTAGTCAAAAAGAATTTTCAGGCAGGGGCCTTCTAGCTACATTCCCAGTGTCCAAAGTTTGCCTGCTGTTCTGTTCCCTTGTTCTCCAACTACCTGTAAGTCACCCAATCTCACCCCAGAAATCTAACACTCTCTTTCCATCTTTTATTCTTTGTTCGAATTCCCTTAAACTCAGCCTTGCCTCACTGACTTTGGGACACTCATGTGCATGTATTACAATTTTGACTTTCTCCTGTTAACCTTTCTCTGTTATTCTGATTATTAGCCCAGCCAGAAGAGATTAGAATGTGGGAAGAAAAGTACTAACATTGTCTAGGCTCCACAATGTCTTTCTGGAAACACATACGTTTCATCTAAGACATCTAAACTGTCACCATTTTGTTGTCTGTAGCATTCCTTTACGGTACTCTTTATTTCTGTAAGGTCAGTGGTAATGGTCTTTCACTTCTGGTTTTAGACACTTGTGTGTATTCTGTTTTCCTTGGTCAGTCTTGCTAGGGGTTTGGCTCTCATGTTGATCATTTAATAAAAAATAAAGTTTTTGGTTTTCGTGATTTACTTTGCTGTTTTCTTAGTCTCCCTTTCATTTATTTCCATTCTAATTTTTACTCCGTCCTTCAAACCAAGTGATCAAGTCTGGGTCACTGCTCAGAGGACCAGCACTTTGATCTTTATTGTGTGAAGGTACACATTGCATTTCATCAGGCAAAAAGTACACAGTCAAAACTTTGGGAACATTCCGTGCTGGACGTGTTAAAGTGACCTCCACTGTTCTCGTTCACCAGCATGAAGAAAAAAAGGCAAATGTGGGCATGGCATTAACTGAGTCAGTGGGAGTTGTTTCATAAATACACCGCATGTGCTACAATCAAGAAACGGCCATCTGTTGGTCTACTGAGCAGTGGTGCGCAAACAGTCACTTGTCATGCTCCATGGAGTCCTAACTCCACTATCACCAATAGGTTCCTTTCTTGTGAGGACTCTTCACACAGATAGATACACTCAACATGGCAGTGGTGTGTGCATCCTGTGCTGGTTCAGCTATGAGCTTGAGGAAATGACTCAGGGGTCAATTTCTTCCAACGTAAAGAGAGATCATAAAACACAATTTATACGGTGATCATGTGTCATGTGAGGAGTGTGTGGGGAGTTTCATCCATCATCAGACATGCTACAAATAGTATAGATAGTGGTAGTTTTTTATTGAAACTCAGGAGACATAGGTATCCTCAAACTTTTAGGTACCCACACATCCCTGGTGTTTTTTAAAAGTATCTTTAAAAATCAGCAAAGACACAAAACAAAGGAAGAGAGGAACAGGAGGACCCTGACACCCATCCACTGCATGGCTTTCTTAAGCCACAAAACTTCTCTTCACCTTCTACTAATATTCAGTCCTGCTTCTGGGGCTGGGAGATCAGGGGTCTGGCTCACTGGATTCTCTGGTGGCAGGAGGTGAAGTTTAGCTTGCAGCTTCCAACTACCTACTCATCCTCCGTGCACATCCTTGTACACTTGCCCCGGCTCAGCCTGCATGACTCACAAGCAGGAAAGTCACCTGGGCCAAGAAGAGCTGCTCATGTGCCATGTATAGTTTGAATTTAGTGAGAACCTAAACCTAAGCACAAAAGTGTCACCCGAGAACTTAGTAAAAAAAAAAATCAAGCACATGAGAATTGCTTCTCTACC